CTCATCCGATACCTGGAGTCCATGAAGAGCGCCGGCCGCCCGGGTAAGTGCACTGGGCCATGTGTGTATCGAGGTGGGCCAGGAGTGTGACAAGGTGTGCTGTGTGTGGACACAGGTGGGCCAGGTGTGTGGCCAGGTGGGCCATGTGTATCCAGGTGTGTGCGACCAGGTGGGCCAGGTGTGTGCAACCAGGTGGGCCAGGTGTGTGTAGCCGTATGAGTGCACCTAGGTGGGCCAGGTGTGAGACCAGGTGGGCCATGTGTGTGTACCCATGTGGGCCAGGAGTGCCACCAGGTGGACCAGGTGTGTGAACCCATGTGGGCCAGGAGTGCCACCAGGTGGACCAGGTGTGTGAACAGGTGGGCCAGGTAAGTGCACCCAGGTGGACCAGTCCTGTGAACTTAGGTGCATGAACCTAGGTAAGGCAGATGTGTGCCTTTGTGGGCTAAGTGTGTGCCCATGGGGGCCATGTGTATGCGTCCGGGTGGACCAGGCATGTGTACTTAGGAGTGTGGGCCCAAGTGGGCCAAGTGTGTGCACCAAGGTGAGCTCAGGTGTGTACCCAGACGGGCCAGGTATGTGCTGTGCACTCAGGTATGTATGCCCAGGTGTGCACACCTAGGTGTGTGGAGCCTAGGAGGGCTAGGTGTGCATGCTCATGGGAGCCAGGTGTGTGCTGTGCGCCCAAGTAGGCAAGGTGCATGCATCCAGATGGGCCATGTGCTGTGCACTCAGGTGTGTGCACCCAGGTGGGTGAGGTGCACATGCAAGTCCCTTCCACATTCCCTAGGTTCGCTGAGGTGTGTTGCTCGTGTCTGTACCACGTACTGTGTAGACAGAGTCTAGGTGTAAGGCCTCCAGGGCTCCCTGGACATCCACTTCTCTGTGAGATGGACCCACCCAGAAACTGGGGTCACGGGGGCACGGATGTCAGATATAGCGTTGGATTAGATAGATAGATAGATAGATAGATAGATAGATAGATAGATAGATAGATAGATAGATAGATATAATAGAGATAGCTGATATATAGAAACAGATTGGATAGATGGATTAGATAGTAGATAAAATAGGTAGATAATAGATAAGAAACAGAGATATAGATGATAGATGAGATAGTGATGGATGACAGATAGATGAGCGAGATCATAGATAATATATTGAAACAGACTGAATAGATGGATGAATAGATAGATTAGATAGAAGAGATAGATGATAGATGAGAAACAAGAGATATAGATGAGAGATAGAAAGATCATAGATAGATGATATATAGAAACAGACTGGATCGATGGATAGATAGATAGATAGATAGAATGGATAGATACATCGATTACATAGGTGATAGATTAGAAGATAGATAAGATAGAAGACAGATTAGACAGAAGATAGATGATAGTTATTATATATAGATTAGATAGATAGATAGATAGATAGATAGATAGATAGATAGATAGATAGATAGATAGATAGATAGATAGAGACACAGAGGTGTAGGTATGTATATAGAAACAGGAAGGATGGCCGTCTTTCTGATGATCGATGGATGGACAGATGGACAGACGGTCAGCGGCATCGACAGCCATCACCTCTTTCAGGTCCCATCACCCCAAAGATAAACCTCATCCCCATCGGGGTCTCCCCCTCCCCCTTCTCGAGCCCCTGCAACCACGTCTCTGTCCACTGCAGGCTGGTGTCCTTTCTGTGGCCTCTGTCCACTGCTGGCTGGGATCCCGTCTGCGTCCTCTGTCCTCTGCTCTGTGTGTCTTTCTGAGGTCCCCCCTTCTGGGGATGTTCTGGGGGGGTATTAGATTGGGGCAGAACCACGCTTCTGTCCACTGCAGGCCATTCCCCCATCTGTCCTTCTGTGTCCCCCTCTGCTCTGCGTGGTCATTTCTCCCCCGGAGCAGATGGAGCATGTGAACCACATGTGGGGGTCCCCTCTGGGGTGAGGTTTGGGGGACGACACAGATGAGGGTCACCCCTGAGGGGCAGCCCTTGTGGGTGACCCCCAGAGCTCCAGATGGACGCTGACACCTCCCCGATGCAGGTCCGCGCCCTCAGGGTCTGCGGCGTCCACCCAGAAACGTGAAGACGGGGGGTGGTGGTGAATGGAAGCGGGGGTCCACACGCATGCCTCCTCTGCTCGCAGATGGACTGTTTGTGGCCGGCATCAACCTGACTGAGAACCTGGGCTACGTGCTGGCCCACCCGGCCGAGTCCCTCAAGACCATGACCCTGCCCAGCCTCCCGCAGCTGACCGCCTGGGTGCGTAACCAGTGCCCGGGGCCCGGCGTCCACTGCACCAACATCATCGCCGGCGACTTCGTCGGGGCGGGCGGCTTCATCGGAGAGGTCATCCGGCTCAATGACAAGCTGCTCGTGGGCTGACCGGTGGCCCCGGCGTGAGGTCACCCTCGGCCTGTCCAGTGCCAGCTGGACCCTCAAAGACTGCATCTCTGTGGGGGGACAGGAGGGCTGCCCTGTGACCACGCCCACGACAGAGTCCAGAACCTGAGCGACAAGGGTGACCTTCTGTCCTGCAAGTCCTCCCTTCTCTGTGCCGTCCAGCACACAGCTGGACAGGTCTGTCCTCAAGTGACCATGCCCCGTTAGAGTCCAGTATGCTGTGACCTCCAGCGGCCACACCCCTCTGTGAAGTCCAGTACCTGAACCAGCTACAAGGGTGACTTTCTGTCCTGCAAGTCCTCCCTGTTCTCTGTGCCATCCAGCACACAGGTTGGACAGAAGGTCAGCCCGCAAGTGACCATGCCCCATTAGAGTCCAGTATGCTGTGACCTCCAGCCGCCATACCCGTGTGAAGTCCAGTACCTCAGTGGCTACAAGGCTGATCCGTGGTCTTTGTGAACCTTGTACCATCTCTGCAGAGTCCAGGAGATGGAGGAACTGGACGTCCATGCAGCTGACCACATTGTGTGTGGAGTCCCGTGCACCATGGACTGGAAGTCCACCCTCAGTAATGATGCCCCTTTTCACCAGGACAATGTCCATCATCCCTCTAAGCCTTGCTCCATCTTCGAGGCGTCCAGTCCATGGAAGAGCTGGACATCTTCCCTGGTGACCACTTGCCCTCGGTGGAGTCCCATGTACAGTGGACCGGAGGTTTTTCCAAATGCCCTCTCCGGCCGCGTCCTCCCCGTCTGACAGGTTCCAGCCCATGGCTTTGGTCACTGGTCTTTCTCTCGGTCTCTGACCCTGAACTTTCCCCAGCAGGATGTCCTCCCAGGACTGACCCCTCTGGACTCCATGCCCACAGGGTGTGAGAGCAGCTCTCCCCGTGCTGGCCTCCAAGGAGCCCCGCAGCTGCATCTCCTCCAGGACAGACGTCCTTGTTCCTCTGGCCGTCCACTCTGTGGTCATTCCCTGAGCAGACGCGGTCCTGCTTTCTCCTGACATCCGGGGACCGGGTCTCAGACCCTCGGACGGTGACTGGAAACCCCTCCTTCTGGGGCTCCGTGATGCAATTTCCCCCAAGAAATGCTTCTGCTTTTGTTCCACGAGGGCAGCAGCTGACCGCGAGGAGGACGGCGTCCCTCTGGTCCCCGCAGCTGCCGGGCCCGTGTCCCCCAAATTCGACGCTGACCCCCGGGCGAGGACCAAGTCTCTTCTGCAGAACATGCATGACTTTATCGGCCTGAAGGACTCAGTGCAGGAAAGGCTTTAAGTGACCCAAAGGCCACAGACGCTCGTTTTTAAATTTATAACACGCTTTTATGACCTAAAAGCACAAATGCTCATTTTTAGATTTATTTTTAAAAAACCCCTCTGCGCTCAAAACGGAGGTTCTGTGTTTACTATTAAAGCTGGATTTATGGAGGCGCGTGTGTGTCTGTGTGTGAGACAGACACAGGGTGGGTGGACGGGCAAGGGCAGGTGTCCGGTCATACGGTCACTTACAGGGATACCGGCCCTAGAGAATGGACCTCACCTCCTTCCTCTCCAGCCCCGCGAAGTCCAGCCCCCTTGTCCGCAGCCCTCAGGGAGGGTGGCCGACAGGGACACGCAGCCGTGTGTGTGGGGACGTGGGGGCTGGGAGAAGCAGCCACGTCTCAGGGGGTGGACAGACAGTGGGATGACCTCTTGTGTCCAGTCCTGGCCCCCCCACAGGAAGCCAATGCCCACTTCTCTCTGCTGGGGTCCTGAGACCCCACCTCCAATTCACCACCATCTCAATGGGTCAGCCCCCCAATGTCCCCTTCTCTGTGCTGGGGTCCTCTGCGACAGCCCGGGGGACCCCCACCCCGCTGTGATGGCTTCTGCTGGGAGAGGCTGGAGCACGGAGGATCCTGAGAGTGGATTTTGGGGTCCAGGGGAGGAAGGAGGCCCCGTGGGTCAGGGGACTGGGGTGGGGGGACCATGCCCTGACCTTCTGGATTCTCTAACCTATGCGGACGGTGAGGGTCAGAGTCCCCGATACAGGTCAAGCGGCTCCAAACCCTCGTTCATTCTCTGGCCACAAGTGACCTTCAGGGACCAATGTCCAGGAGGTGAATGGGTAGACCCTGGCAGACACACGGGGAGGGGCGCCCCCAGGGCCCCAAACACATGGGTCAAAGGGAACAGTAACATCCCAGGGACACACACATTCCTTCAATCAATCAACGGTCACACGGGCCCAATGTCCAACGAGACCCAGATCTGGTTGGCCGGACACACGAGCACGGAAGGGTCAGTGGGAAGGGGGACACACAGGGGCGAGCTGGGCAGAGTGCCGTCCACTCTCGGGGCTGCAAAGCCAGCGCCCAGCACGTGTGACCCGAGAACAGAAAACCAGTCTCCTCCTGGCCCCCTCGCCCTGACCACGGCACAAAGTCCATTTCCTAATCTTTTATTCTTTCATCAAACATTGACAAATCATTCTTTTTTAAAAAAAAAAGTTGCTGAAAGCAATTACCAATGACAATGGTTAATCCGCAGCCTCGCACAATAAATACTTTTTGAAATAAACAATAAAGCATGCTGTTAACGTCCACCCTCACGCAAGGTGGGAGAGGAAACCGTGGATTCGGGGTCACGGAGGGACCCCCCACTCTCTCTCACCCTCCTTGGAGGACACAGGCTGCAAATGGTTACGGCCGCACAAGGCCCCTCTCTCTGTGGCCCCAGCTGGACGCCCACAGCGCTGACCTCTCAGCCGCAAGCTCAGCCCATAGTGGTCAAAGCACAGGACAGACACCCAGACAGGACAGACACCCCAACAGGAGGGGCTGTATTTAAGGGGCTGAAGGGTCATCAGGGAGGCTCAGAGCGCTGACCCCCTGGGAGGAGATGGTCTCACCTGGTGGGATCAGAGCACTGACCACCTGGGGTGCAGTGTCCTCTAACGGACTCAGAGCACTGACCCCCCTGGGAGGAAACATCTCATCTTCTGGGTTCAGTCCAAGGCTCTGAGGTCATGGCCCATCCCTCCTGGACTCTGGCCCCACTCCTCTGCGGTCAAGCTGGCCGCTGGACTGTCGGCCTCCGTCCTGGGGCTGCTGCTGACCAGCAAGTGTCCTGTCCAGGCGGGACAAGCCCTCGCCAGGCAGGGGGAGAGGGTTTCTGAGCTCAGAGGGAATGACGGTCACCGGGGCTGTCCAGCCGCCGCGTGGACGACTCCGACACCAGGTTAAAAAATGGCGTAAGCCTGAGCCCTGGTGGACTGACGTGGGGGCAGGTGACATGCTACCTGGGCAGGTGGGAGGGCACATGGCGGGGCCCTGGGAAGGGAGGGGTCACTCTGTTCACCGTCCTCCATGCCAGCTGGACACAGGGCCTCCCTGCAAACCCAGCCCTCACGGCCTCCTCCAGGACGCTCACCCTGCCTGCCCTTTGCGATGGGTCACCTGGTCAACACGGCCACTGCACCAGTGTCCCCAGGACGCCAGGTTAAAAGTCACATTCTAGGGAGCTCGGGTGGCCCAGCGGCGAGAAGCTGCACTGCAATCCAGAGGCATGTGGTTCAAATCCACCAGATGCTGGAGGAGGAGCGACAAGGTCCTCCTGTGCCGGTCAGGTCCGATTTGACAGGACACACTCTGTGCCCCTATCTCTCTCTCCCTCAAATCACGTTTAACAGCCCAGGTGAGGGGTCAGCCACGTTTCTCACACGGCCCAGGGGCACATCCCTCAAGGTGACCACATGCAGTTTTCACAGGGGCAGCCCTGGGGGCCTTCCTAAAGCCCCTCAACTGACCAGTGACTCTATGGGCAGCCCTGGGGTGGTCCCCCTGTCACCTGTGACTCCTCACTCAGCGCACACGGGCAGCCCTGGGGGTCATTCCCTTTACCTTGACCAGTGACTCCTCGTTCTTCAGCTCAGAAGGGCAGCCACGGGGGTCATTCTTAACGTCCTTCACCTTGACCAGTGACTCCTCATTCAGCTCACATGGGCAGCCCTGGGGGGCTCCCCTGTCACCCTGACCACTGACTCCTCGTTCAGCTCAGAAGGGCAGCCCTGGAGGGTCATTCCCTTCACCTTGACAAGTGACCCCTCGTTCAGCTCACACAGGCAGCCCTGGGAGGGTCCCCATCACCTGACCAGTGACTCTGACCCCCTGCACCTTCCCGTGTGCTCTCTGACCTCCACCCTCTGTGTTCTCAGGTCCTTCCTTCCACGCTGACCGCTGAGAAGCCAAACTTCCTCCCCAAGATGACATGAGAACCCTTGATGAGCAACTGGAGGAATGACAGGTTGGTAATTTTAGGATTGGTCTCGTGTCAGGTCACAGGACACGAGGGGTTTGTCCCCTGCGGACGGGAGGCGGCTGGGGCCCCTTCTGAGGGGGTGTTACCGCCTGTGAAACACCCGTGAGCACTGCCATCCCAGAGGTGCACGGTTCTAATCCACCAGATGCTCTGCCGGGTGAAGGAGGGTCAATCTCCCCCTGGACCGGTCAGATCTGATTTGACGGTACACTCAC